GTCTAGAACATTAGGACCCTGGTGGTGCCCCCCTCAGGGACGGACAGTTGGATAATTTCTTAGGAACTGAGACCAGCACTGGTCAGTGAATCAAGTTCCCCTGCAGCACTTCCCTATGGGCCCTTTGGGGAAGGCAGCATTTAGGTGGGACGCCCCCCGCCCCAGGAGGGACAGCAGAGAGGAGGAGGGGCGGTCTAGGATAGGAGGCGATTAACTCCTGCAGCGTCCTTGTCTCCATTCACATGGCCTTCTCTAACCCATAACCCAGGGCCCTGCTACCTGCTGAACTTCCTGCCCAGGCCTCCCTCTTAAGGTGAGCCCCTAAAAGAGCAAGGTGCTGTGCACAGGCTGGGTGCTCCCAAGAAGGGGCATCTTGGACCTCAGGCTGTAAGCTTTGCATTTTACAGAGGGAAGCTGAGGCCAGGGGTCACACAGTTGTAGGCTGGGCTTGCACGTAAGTCCCAGGGGTTTAGAGGGGAATGTACCTGCTGGAAGAACAAACAGGCTTTCCTTGCCCCTCCCCGTCCTGGCTTCGCTGAGTGAGGCGGGAACTGGTGCTCGGTCGGGTCAGTCGGAGGGGCTTGCAACCCGGCTCTCAGGTGCTCTGCTTCTCATTGTGCACGAACAGCCCCAGTGCAGGGATTTCTGGACCTGGTCCAAGGGGAGAAGAGTCTGGAGGGAATGCAGTTTGGTTTCACTACCATGTTTCATGATTTAGGGTTTTAAAAGATCTTCCTGCTACCAGGAAACCCAGAAACCCAGAGTTGACCCCACACCTCCATACTGAAGCAGCCGCCCACACGCATGAGCCCGAGAGGCCTCTTTGCTACCAGCCTGTGGAAATGACCCGGCGGCAGGAGCGCCCCTGCGGCAGGAGGGCTGCACCATTCTCATTCTCTGGGCGTCCACAGGAGCAGACCAGGCGGTGCTGAGACTGGTGTGAAAAGCAGTTCAGTGAAACCAGGCACCCTGATCCTGTGAAAATACAGCTGAAAGAAAGAAAAATAAATGGGCAAAGAGTTGTGTTTTTGAAGAAAAAACAGATACAAATAGTATTTAAAACAGCTCTTTGATCTTTCAACTTCTTAAAATTCAATAATGTAATCCAGTTACTTATTTTTAAACTCCGATGCCTTATCCAGACTGTTCTTAGAAGGTAATGAACACTAAATGCATTTTGGATTGGTTTTTCTGAAGCTATCCAAATCCACTAGCTATGGGTGGGAAGGACAGAATTGCCATCTGGCAGCTTCTCCGGGGCTCGGAATGAAGGGAGGAGAGATGAGGTGTTCCAGGACTCACTGCGATCAGAGGAATAAGGTGGCTTGCAGATGCCGTGGAGGCCACACAGCCACAACTTAGGTTTCTGAGAAAACTCCTTCCGGAAGAGTGGAGGAAAGAAAACCATCACAGAGCTCCTTCCGTTTGAAATTTTAAGCAGCTCTTTTTAAATCTTATCTGTATCTTGGTTTATTTTCTGTTCCAGGGGAAGGTCAAGAAAGAGAATTCTAAATTTGCCAAGAGATTTATTTCTCCTGGAGGGGTCCCCCTCTTCCCAGTAGCAGTGGTCGGTCCTCTCGGGCGTGGGCTGCCTGTGGGGATGGAGGAACAGCAGAAGAGTTGAGGTGCCCGCTTCACCACTCAGGGCTAGGTGTGCCCGTCCCATCAGGACCTGTCCATTTGGGTCAGAAGTGAACAGTTACGCCTGTAAAGGGGGGTGTGCCCAGGCCTGACCATGACTGTGATCACCCTCCGCCCCGCTCTGGTGCAAATATGACAACTAACACTGACTTAGTCTTAACCATCTCTGGGTTCTCTGCTGTACTCGGCCTGAGACAGTCGCTGACTAGGTACAGTGGCTGTATTTTAAGAAAAGCAAAATAAACTTGATGCAATGAGCCTGTCCAATGGATGACTTGCTTACCTCCAGGCCCCTCACGCGCTCGCTAACCGAGGCTTGTTCCATCTGTATGATCACATGATTTAGCCAGACATGCAAATACATCTCAACAGAAAAGACTGTGCATGTCATATAGCCAGAGCCACAGAAGTCAACGTGGACACTGGGCTGTTGGGGTTTAGACACAGAACGGAGTTCTGATTTGAGACAGTTCTTCACAATGGTCCCTGCAGGTTAGTGCAGCCACTGTCGTGGGACCGGGGCTCACACAGGTGGGCACTCAGCACCACACAGCAGTAACTCACGTCCTAACAATAGAGCTTCCTGAATGTTCCACTGCCAGGAGGGAAACCTTCAACCTCAGAAAAAGACTGTTGACCAAGGAAGTCTGAGTGGGAGAGGTGCTGACTCAAGTGGGGCAGGAGGAGGAATGTGCCAGGGGCCAGAGGGGCACATGGGGCCTGCCAGCACCCAGGCTCCCGAGGAACTGGACCGACCTCATTAGGTACACCACTTAGCCAAAAGCCTGCAGTGCCTAAAAAGTGAAGGATGTACTTTTCACGGAATGACTGAAAAGTTGACAGAAACCTGTGTGCCTAGTGCTCAGAGCACTTTGGGGAGCATCTGACCCCTTTGAAGCCTGCATTTAAGCTGTGTCAGTAGAACATTCTTCCTGATGGAATAAGGCATGGAGCCTGGAGGTGTGTGGGAGCAGGCTGCATGGTTGGGCCAAGAGCATCCAGCGGGGTGACCAGGGAATGGCAGTTCCTTTAAGTGGAAGCTCCAGGTGCCTTAACTTACAGCCTTTTTGCTTCCAGTACAGGCTGGAGAACTATTTCCTTAAATTCCAATGGATTCTTTTCTCCAGTCAAATCTCGTTGCTCATCCCAAAGACTAGTGTAGTCCTATTTCCACTGATAAGCCAACTTAACATCAGATCTAATAATAGATTCTCTTAAAAAAAAAAACATACCCAGCCTCCCCATGGGCCCTGCCTTGTGACACAGCAGTCACCCTTACCGTTTCCCACCACTGTCCCCACAGGACACTCTCAGGTCACGCCTCTCACTCTTGTTCCGTGCCTGAAGCTAGTGCCCACGCCTGCTCCTCGCTCTCCTGCCTGCTAACCACCAGTAGAGGGGGGAAGAAAAAACATCGTTTTAGAAAAATACAACAGTTTTCGACAAACGCATGGCTGGAGTCTGTGATGGCGGTGGGGGAGGCTGGTGAGGAAACGCCAGGCCTGCTGTCAGTTCCGCTGCTAACCAGTGTTTAAAATAAATCAACCTCCCATCATAAAATTAAACAGCTTTATCGGAAAAACGGAATTGGCGAAGACCCTTAAAACTGTAAGAAATAAACAACGTGAAATAAACTTCCTTGGCAGCTGCTCTGGTTTCCTTCACAAGGTGGAGGCCGGTGCATCTGCGGTCACCTTGTCAGACTCGCCAGCAGGTACGGCCCACGCTCCATCAAGAAGCTTCCAACGTCTTCACGGCCCACCCTCCCTGGGCTGCGGCTGGTTCTGGAACATCTTGGAATAAAGCTGGAAAACACCGCCTGACTCGGCGGAGTCCAGTGGTCTGATGGAAATCGGGGTCAGCATGCTGGTCAGAGACGGTTCTTAATGAGGCACCCACTGTTAGCTGACAGTTAAATGATGGCTGTGTTTCCATTTTATGATACGAAAAACACAAGACGGATTAAACGAAATTACTGTTCCCGTGGACAAATCAAAGTGATTTTTTTGGGAGGGAAGTGAAGGAAGGGGAACCAAAAGGGAGAGAGTTAATCTTGAAACTTTCCTAAAACAAAGACCATTCTCTACAACTTCAAATTTTTCTTACAAAGAAAAATTTAATATTAGAGGAGAGGTTGAACTAGGCTCAGACAAGACATACTAGGAGTGGTGCCACCTGTAAGAAGATTGCCAGCTTTTTTTAAGTAAGTACTGACTTGGAAGAGATGATCACCAGGCCAGAAAACAGCCCTGGCATGGCAGTCAATTTTGGCCTGACGCGTTGAGCCACGCAGGAAGACCAGCACCCAGAGAGCAACACAGAGTCCAAGAGGATGGTGATGGGGGCTAGCCCTTTAGGAGAATCGGTGCTCTCTGCAGCTGGTGCCAAGTGATTGGCATCAGAGGAGCCCTGAGGATAAGAAACGATTGACATCGTTACAGAACTGCCCTCACAGAGCGCTCCTTCGGAAGCTCTCGCTAGCAAAAGCCAGCTCCTTGCAAGGAGAGCTCCCAAGTATAATAAAATTATTACACAGTTTTATTCTGAAGAACATTTTGCATTTTAATAAAAAAAAGGATTTAGGTCAGGAAACAGTCATTTACAAACCTTTAAGTATTTTTGCCTGGATCTGGAGTAAGAATGTTTTAAGAAGAGGTTTGTAAGGTCTTCATAACAAAGTGTTGTTATTTACAAAAAAACATTAACAGGTTGTCCATTTAATATTTAAAAATTGGAACCAAAAATTGCTACCTGTCTTTTTGACTGCAGGAAGTCCCTGCCAAGGTAACTTGACAAAGTCAGCAAGATCCCGTTAACAGAAAAGGAAGCCTTGACAGTTCTAATTATCCAGAAGTGGGTTTTCATCAGGACGCACAGAGTGAGTGCATTCTAATGAAAACGGCAGCCCTCATCATTTGCATATAAAAGCCCTCAAAGAGAACACACAGTACAGCAACACTTTGTAAAAAGGCAACAATACAACAATACGATTTGTACCGACCCGACATTCTAATCCTGTGGATCATGTTTGCACATTCTTTCCTCCACCCCTTATTTCTTAAGATAAGCAGCATCACCAGTTCCCAGGGGACACGCGCAGACTTACTTCATTCACCTGTGTAATTATTTCTGTACCAGAGATGCAAAAGTATCCTGCATGGGCAGCTGAGAAACCAACACTGTGAATGCCACAGGGTCAAAGGAACCAGCTTGACCTACTCTGAAATTAACTTATCAAAGGGTTAAAGTAAAAAAAAAAAAAACAAAAAAAACAGTTGCAACCCACAGTAGATCAAAAGTACAATATCAAATCATAGAACTCTTGCCCCAAAAAAAAGACTGCAAATAGTCATCTGGTATACCTTGTGTAAAGACACATTGATAGTGACTCAAAATATTTTAGAAAATCTCTATAGTGTCAAGTTCTTTTGAACTTAAAATTTTACCCCTAAAAGGTTTTCACTGAATAAATGAGCACTGGCTCCATTTCCTCTACTTCTGTATAGTCCAAGTAAAAATAATAATGATTTCTGGATTTCAGTGGGGAACTACAATTATTAGGACCCATGGATATTGCTGCAGTTCAAATACGGTACAATAATTACAAAATATAGACCATCTCTTTACAAATACAAATTATAGTATATTACAAGTCATATACAGTATCTATAATTTTTAAACAAACTAGCGTATCTAAGTTTACCTGGTTGCAAGTGCATTGTTATTCCAGTTTACAGTTGCCCTTAAACATGACTCAGAAATAGACCATCTGAGTGATATTCTCTTATGTAAACTGGTGTCACAGACAGAACACCTGGTTTGTAAGGTCTTCCTCCCCTCCTGTAATGACCGCTGGCAGGTAGATTCTGACATACGCACTGTACTTCAGAAGAGCTCAACAGGAACCAGAGCAGTGTGTTTGGGGGAAGGGTTTAAAAATGGATATGCTGGGCCCAGTGAATGTCTGATATGCTGGACTGATGGCTGAGGTAATGACCGGTGTGGTGAGCGTCATCACCTTTAACCTTCCCCGCTGTGCCTGCGGGCGGGTGTGCAGGAGGGCCCTGTGTGCACACTGCGACACACTCCACAGCAGTGCACGTCTGAACAACAGGCGTGCGTGTCTGCCTCCTCACCCATCCTCTCTGTGGGGACTGGGCCTGCTGTTGCCCACAGGGGCCCTGTGGGGGGCAGCTGCAGTAGGGGCTGAGCATGTGGTGCACCGCGTGCTCAGCCACTTGGCACCTGTTCCCTACCAGGGTTATGGCTTCCTTGAGACGTGACATCACTTGTACAGAAGTCTAATTGAATATGTACTCCAAACTAGTGCCTAAGCTTTCCTAACTATGAGGCACTTTTTTTCCCCTGGCCCTCCTCTGCCCCACCTGTGGCTAGAGCCAGTTCCCCCCCTTGCCAGGTGCTACAAGGTGGTGATGCATATCATTTCATCTGCCAGGTCCTCCTCATATCTCCCAGGGTCTGGCTCTTCGTCACTGTAGCCAGGACCGAAGTCTTGTAGCTCATAGTCCTGCTGGTGTGAGATGGGGCCCACGTCCCCATTGGCTCGGGGACTCATGTTCCCGTTGAGCAGGTGGCTGGCTGCACTCTCCATCTCGTCGATGGTTAGGTCACAGGCATCGGCGATCTCATGTTTTGTTGCTGACACAAATTTTGGGTCCCTCGCATACCGTCCCAAGCCTTCGGATATGAGGACCTATCAAGGAGAGAGCATCGATGACAAGAATGCATTAGAAGGTTTTGAGGGGAAACATGAGAGAAAAACCAGCTCCAGCACTGACTGCACAGTGTGCTTCTGGGACTCAGCCCGACCACGCTTACTAGATCGCATACACGGTAAGTGCATGTGAGTGTGGATGGTTTTGACTTTGGAGATGTCACAGAGCTCAAAAACTACACATGGCCCCAAAACCAAACCAAACCTGTTGCCATTAAGTCAATTCCGACTCACGGCAACCCTATAGCCCATAGGAGAACTGCCCACACGGTTTCCTAGGCAGTCAATCTTTACAGAAGGAGACTGCCACATCTTTCTCCTGTGGAGTGGCTGGTGGGTTAGACCTGCTGACCTTTGGGTTAGCGGCAGAGCACTTAATCATTGTGCCACCAGGGCTCCTTCACATCATGCTAGTACAGGTAACTCAGGAGAATTGGCAGTGGTGGCCCACGGTTATATGCATGTTTTAAGAAACATTCATCCGCCCATCTTTTCCTCTTTAACCCAAGTTCATGCTACTAAGAAGTGAACCCCTTGCCACTGAGTCGATTCCGACTCATAGCGACCCGACAGAAGTGGGCGGGGTCAAAATCCAAACCCAGGCAGCATGGGTCCAGAGCCTGCCCACGCTCTAACTGCCACCCTCTCCTGTGGCACGTGGTTTGCCATGCCACCTCTGCTGTTCCCAAAGCCTGCCTTCCTGTAGCCCAGAGCCATACTCACTGCCTCCACCAAGCTGTCTGCACTCCTCTGCTTGTCGCTGTTTTTGTTCCGGAAGCTGCTGGGGACAGTCAGGCTGGCTGGCGTGAAAGTCCGATAGGCGATATCGGGTTCATCCGTGTACCAGGAGCTTCGGTGCAGGGATGGCAGGCTGCCGTTGACCTGGTCCAGGGACTCTGACCGCTCTACCTGGATCAGGGGGGTGTAGCAGGGTGTCCAGTCCTGGTAGGGAGGGGTCGCTGGAGGGGTGGCCCATGACCGGGTCGAGTGACTCGGTGAGTACTGGGCTTTACTGGAATCTAGGCCGGCAACTGCCATGATCTGAGGAGAGAGGAGAAGGTGGAGAGACCAGAGTGCCTCACAGTCCAGCCCTCATGCTTCCTTAAAATGGCCCAAGCACAAGGTCCCGTTTTATGGGCCAGCGCAGACAAGACTTTAGCAGGATGTGAGCACGCTGCAGTAAGTTAAATGAACGGGTAGTAAAACTGTGGCCTTCTATGAGCTGGAATCGACTTGACGGCAATGGTTTTGGTTTGGTTTTTCAGAGCGGACTGTTTTCTTTGTCCTGAAAACCATACTACATTTTCTGTGACTGTTCCCGAGTAGGAATCAGTTGCTAATTCATGAAATTGCTTCAGAATGATGAAGAATTAGGGAAGACATGCAAGCTGTGATGTATGAATATACTACCCAGTTTAAATATTTAAGCACATTCGGGGAAAACTAACAATTCCAAGAACTCACAGGAAAACACAGCTGGTTCCTTTTACTCTCTTGTAACTCATCACGTAAGCAGCATTTTGTGCATTCCAAAGCACTGGGTATGGGTCCTGCTGCTTACACCTACAAATCCACTATGATTCCCACTCAGCAGAGAGGGGCACTGAAGTCTTGTCGGAGTCAGCAACAGAGGCCTATGGCCCCGTGGAGGCAGCTCAGACCAACAAGATGTGGCCTGGTCAGGCTAAGACGGGGAGAGAAGAGCATCTTCACCCAAGGGTCCCTTTCTTCAGGCCTACTTGGTGCGTGGCCTTTGATGGCCTGGGCCTTCCAAAGGTTTGTCCTTCCATGATAACACAGGACAGAAATAAGAATATAAAAACTGAAGGCAGACAATAAGCACATGAAAAGATGCTCAACATCATTAGTCATTTAAAAAAAAAAAAAAAAGTCATTGCCACTGAGTTGATTCCAACTCATAGCCCCCCTATAGTACAGAGTAGACCTGCCCCATAGGGTTTCCTAAGAGTGGCTGGTGGATCTGAACTGCCAACCTTTTGGTTAGCAGCTGAATGCTTAACCACTGTGCTACCAGGGCTCCCATTAGTCATTAGGGAAATGCAAATCAAAACCATGATGAGATATCATTTCACCCCTAGGAAGATGGCTATGATCAAAAAAAAAAAGGAAAATAAATGTTGGCGAGGATGTGGAGAAATTGGAACCCTCATACGCTGCTGATGGGAATGTAAAATGGTATAGCTGCTGTGGAAAACAGTTGGGCAGTTACACGAATGTTAAGCATAGAATTACCATATGACCCAGCAATTCCACTCATAGGTATACACCCAAAAGAACTGAAAGCAGGAACTCAGATACGTATACACCAGTGTTCACTGCAGCACTATTCACAACAGCCAAAAGGTGGAAACAACCTAATAAACGTCCATCAGTGGATGAATGGATAAGCAAAATGTGGCATACACATAGAACGGAATAGTATTCAGCCATAAAGAGAGATGAAGTCCTGATACACACTGTAACATGGATGAACCTTGGCGACATCGTGTGAGTGAAATCAGTCAGTCACAAAAGGACAAATATTGTATGATTCCACTTATAAATCAGGTAACTAGAATAGGCAAATTAGAGAGAAAGAAAGTAGAATGGAGGTTATCGGGGGCTGGGGTAGGGTGGGGAGTTACTGTTTAAAGGGGCACTGAGTTTCTGTCTAGGGTGATGAAAAACTTTTAGAAATGGATGGTGATGGTTGCACACATGGTGGATATACTTAATGCCACTGAAACATACACTTGAAAATGGTTAAAATGCTAAGTTTCATGTTAAGTATATTTTACCACGATAAAAAAAAAAAAAAAGTAAAGGTAGACCAGTAAAAAGTTGGCAGAGAGACACGAGCAGAAAATCTGAGATGGGGCTGAGTGCTCATGTGCTCAGGAGGCTTGGCCCTGCCGCACTTTACAGACTCGGTGCTTGTTCTACGACGTAGTCCCCCCAAGTGCCCCGCATCTCTCCCCTCTCTCTCTCTCTCTCTCTCTCTCTCTCACACACACACACACACACACACACACACACACACACACACACACACACACGCACACACAGCATCTCTGATGTGCTGTTTTCAGAAAGAAGAAGTGTCCTATTCTTGCCCTTGAGGCCCAGCCCTGGGGAGTGGGCCCTGGCCTCGCCCAGCCTCCACCGTGGGCAGGTCTTCCTCCCTAGACCACACTCTCACTATAGGCAGGGTCGGAGGGCCACACCCCTCATGACCACAAGGCATGCTCACAGAGGTGCAGTGAATGTGCTTTAATGAAGGAACAACCTCTTGGAGCAAGTAGAAGGCCGCATAGATTGTGAAGAATCAGTCAAGCGCTGCCATTCTGAGTCCGGGACTGTACCAGGCTGTGTCTTTAGTGCTGAGGAGGGATGTGTAAAACACTGAGTGACCTCGTCACGCCCCTCCTGTGTGACCTTGGGCACACTGCATGCTCTCCCTGATGGGCGCATCTGTACAGTGAGATTGTAATAGTATCTGTGTGGCAGGGCTGTTACAAGGATTAAATCAGGCTGTGCGTGAAGGTTCTCGCCTTCCCTCCTGGAGCTGGCAGCCGAGGGGCTGGGGGTGTCCTGTGGGTGAGTGCTAGTGAGGGGGAGGCGAGGTGGGCTGACTCACCTGTTGCTGCATGAGGTGCAGAGGCAGGGCCGTGCGGTGGGGGAAGGCGGGCGACAGCGGGACCTCCTCCTGGCTGCCCTGCCTGCGCAGGCACTCAAAGTTGAAGGAGGATCTCCGGTGGGCTGAGAAGTAAGGTACAGCATTCAGTTGTGGAACAAGTCCTCAGCAGTACACGGGGGCTTTCAGGGATCGGGTGAATGTACTGGACATTCCGCAGGGACCTCACCAAGAAGCAAGCAATGTGTCCAAGAGAAAGAACTATTAGTGAGGTCTCAAAACTTTGGGAGGGGAGAGTAGAGAAGGAGAAAAGGCCCAACTGAGGAATGTTTTCAAACGTGCCATGTTTTGGTTTTTGTGGTTTTTTACTTTTAAATGCTGTCTGTGTCTCTTCTCAGGAGGAGGAGCTAAGGGCAGCCCAGAAGGCAAAGCTTTCTGACTGAGAGGCACTGGGCCCTAAACACTGTGAGGAACCAGCACTTCAGTTCCGGCGCATGATGTGATTCTAGAATCCCACAAGCATTGCCTGGTTATCCTACATGTCTCTGTAGGCTGCAATATCTTGCTAGTCCTTCCATGTTTCTACCTTTGTTTTAAAGGGAGTGACCTGCTACCTGCCCTGATCAGTTCAACCAGGTAATAAGCAAATATTTTTGTTGGGAAAACCCAACTTCTCTAGCACTGAAGTCAAAACAAACGAACACCTCAAACTAAAGAAAACGGTTGTCCTATGAATAGTCATTTTGAAGAGGCTAAGACACAGGTTGAATGATACCAAGATGATCCTCAGCTTTTAGCTTGCTAGAGCAGCAAGTCCAGGAGGTAAATCTGAATCCCGGACCCCTATGCTCACAGCCATAGGCCTCCTCCTGGAAACCCCTCCATCCTAGCAGGGGTCTGCCACTGCAGAAGCTGCTTCTGGGGAGCCTTGCCTGTAGTTTGTGAGGCAGTGGCTGAGTCATTTCAACAGCTCCTTACTTGACCTCTGTTTTCTAGGCTTACCTCCCCCATGCCACAGTAAAAATCCTGTGTGCCCTTTATTCCTGTACTGGAAAACCTCAGGGACTAGCCTTGGGAGGTGTCCCAGACACTGGGGAACTGCACACGAAGCTCTAGAAATGGGGAGCACATGAAGAAGACCAGGCTGAGTCCTTAGCTGGCCACTTCCCGAAAAAACAGGACAGCCCAGTGCACACCATGGCATGTGCTGAGGTGTCCTTGTTGAGTTGCTACATGGAACATGGGCAGCTGGGCAATGAACACAGTCTTCATCAGAAAGCCTTCCATCTGAGCACCACACATGGGGGCCTAATTTCACAGTGTACTAAGGGGGATGGGCCTGCCTTGTCAGAACAACCCCTAGGATCCACAATCAGATGGCAGAGGCCAGAGGATCAAAGCTGGGAAAGCAAAACAATCCCTCTCATTTGCGTAGTGCTTTTCCGTTTTTGAAATAGGTCCACGTATACCCATCATCTCATCTGCTCTGCACAACAGTCTCTGAAAGAGGAAGTAATCCCCCTGTAGTTGAGGAGATTAATGTTCTCCCTGCCCAAGATCTCAGCTGATAGGCAGCAATGCACATCCCCTTACGAATACAGAGAGCAGCAGCTCCTGCTGCTCAGGCTCCTCGCCATCACTGGGGACAGGACCTGGGATGGTGGGCATTGCTGAGGGCACTAAGTGTGCTGGGCAGCTTCATAAGCAAAGACTGAGCAAGGTCCAAGGAAGGCAGTGGAAATCCCATAGGTGAGAGGCCTCCGTCCGGCCTCACCTGCACATGCTTCAGCCACTATTTATGGAGAATGGAACACTGCATTCAGCATGTGTTTGGGGCTGAGCAATTAAATATTAACCATGGAAATTGGCCTGACTATACTCCCCAGCAGAGCTGTGACAGCTGGAGTCAGGCAGAGGGCCCTGGGTACCACCCACCCCAACTCTTTATTGTGTACACAGCTTGGCGGACTCAGGAGCCAGAGTCTCGGCTATTTTTGGTTACTGATTAGAGTCCTGCCCAACGATATGCTTCGTTCTTCAGAAATACCAGAAATAGATATTCTTTAACCATCACCAAAATGCCCACATGCTCCAAGTCAAAGTGCCCAGCTAGGAGTGGGCCAGAGCCATGGCATTTCTGTCTCTCCTGCTAGCTGTGGTCTGTCTCTGCTCGGCTGACCCAGGTCTCCTGATGGTGCAGTTATAGCACAGCTGCAGAAGAAAACTAGGTGGGGGAGCAGCCAGCCCCTGCCCCTTCTCAGCAGGATGGGGCTCCCCTGGCCCCAGAATGGGGGCTACCTATCCTAGAAGCAACCTCAATGGAGTTCTGAGGGCCACCTAAGAGGACAAAACCTGTCCCATGAGCAGAGAGCGCTGGGAGACCCGAGGGAAAGACGAGAGAGGAAGAGGAAACAGGAGAAAAGGAGGACGGAGAGACGGGGAAGGACGAGATTAACCCTGGTGAGTAGCTATGGAGAGATGGACACCAAGAATTCCCCGGGGCCGTCAGAGGCATGGAACTCTGCGCAACAGGCCTGCTCTAAGTCCACCCTGCACTTGAGCCAACACTTTCCCCCCTCTGAGGTGCCCTGTCCATGGAGTTAACAACAAAAGTGCACATCGTGCTTACTTCTCAGATGGAGCAGAGGCTCAACGGCAATAACAATGTACACTGAAGGCCCTTTATCGGGTGTTATGTACTGTACGACTTTAGAGCCACGTACTGCCTCTCTCTATTCTCAGTCAAAAACAGTGCTGAAGGGGTTGAAAGCCCATCACATGCAATATGGATGAGAAGGAAAAGAATGCTGACATGACCTCCCACCCGGGGCCCTCGGGGAGCGGATGGCAGGTCCCTGCCACGGCAGGCTCACACTGGCCCACTTGCCCTGGGGCAGGGAAGGGGGAGCAGCACACTGCTCTCCAGGAGGCTTCACCCAAAGCAAAAAATCTGGCCTCACGTGTTGGGGTTGGAGGTAGTAGGCGTCTCCTTGGAGATCTCCGAGAGTCGTGGCAAGTGGGTGAGTCGGCGTCCTCTAAGAAGCCCTGGGGGTGATGGTAGCCTCGGGGCCTTTCGAAGTCCCAGCTGCTGCCTGGGGATCTGCTGTAGTAGCCATAGTTATGCCTAGCGGTCAGAAAGGCCAGACGAGACAGTGAGGCGCGAGCACAAGTCTAGTCAATGAGCCTCGTCTGGTGGCTCTGACTGACCCACATCTTCAGTCCTCTCCCACCTCACTTGGACACAGCTGGACTAGCTGAGAACAACACAATCCTCAGCTTCCTGGAAGATTCTAAATGGAGAGTGAGGTCCATCACGGGAAGGTTCAGGACTGGAGGCCTGTGACAAGTGATGTTCTGGGACTTTCCATCCCCAGGGCAGCCTTGGACCAGGGTCAAATGTGGATTTCAGATGCCACAGAAGCCTGACTATCATCCACTCACTTCCTCACTGAGAACCCTCCCCCGAGTGCCTGCTCCTGCCAGGTGCTAGGCTGGCACCAGGGACACAAAGAGACACAACATGTGGCCCCTGCAAGAGCTTAGAAAACACGATACACACACAGATGTCCAGTGCTAGCTAGAAAAGGTCAGTGCTAGACAAGAGGTGCTCACAATGGGTTCTGGGGGTGTTTTGGGGGCAGGGTGGGGGGAGGGAGTGCAGCCAGAGAAATGAAAAGTAAGGCACTGGGAAAGGCCCTCGAAGGGGGGAATTAGGTCACGCAGAGATGGGGTGAGGGCATCCGAGTGGTGGACTTGGGGAGAGCAGAGCCCTACAGGAGGAAACACAGAGCACACGTGGCTCAGGATCAGTAGCTCATCTGATCGGAAGCCGGCATCTGAGGGCGGCTGATGAAGGAACGGCTGGAGAGGCAGATGAGGGCCAGGCAGTAGAAGGCCTGGAATACAAGGCTAGCGTTTCTGAACAGCTCAGATGCCAGAAGTGACCTCACTGCAGTACCACCTCCTGCTCGTCAACGGGCTGCCTGGTAATGATGAGATGCGGGTACAGGGAAAGAGTGGCAGTAACCTGCGTCCCCCTGCACTGCTCCCTGTATGTGCTAAGGTAAGAGCCTATTGTAATCACAAGCAGTCTTCGTACAGGACTGAGCTGGGAGAGGCACCTCTGCTGAGACGATGCCACTCTCACCTCTTGTCCCCTCCAGCTCCAGGAGAGACCCCTTGACTGGGGCAGGAAGCGGGTACTGCTCATGAAGACCCCACCCACGGCCACGGCTGACCAAGCTGCTATGCAAACAGCCGCCAGGCCAGAGCTCTCAGCGTCCGTTACACAGACTCATCTCTGCAGAGCTGAGGGAAAGGGCCTAACCCAGCCTTTACTGAAAGGCCTCAGAGGCCCCTGGGGGAAGTAAGTTCCACTCCGCTCGGCCTCTTTTTGGCCCTATTTCTCCTCCTCTGGCTTTTCCCTGGCCTGGAGTTTGTGCTCCGTTTTGCTTTTCTGGGGAATCCAGTCAGCTGCAGGTGGCCCTTTGGCTTCATAGGTAGGCAGAGCGCCAGGGGCAGGAAATGGAGGGTGGAAGGGGGGTGCCTAATCTGAGCCGAGCCCGGAGCTCCCAGCTGCCTGCTCCCACTTACCAGCTCCCGGTCGGCGAGCTGTCATCCTCGTAGCACTCCTCACCACTGAAATACTCCTGCTCCCCCAAGCAGCGGGGGTCCCTGAAGTAGCTGTATATCTCTGGATCTTCCCGGCAAATAGCTGGGAGCTGTTCATCTCCAGAGTCAGACCTGCAGTAGGGAAAGAGGATCTGAGAGCCTGGGCAAGTGACAGTTCATGCAGTCATGCCCTCAGCATGAGGCCAGCATCCCCGCCTGCACGCTCAGCTTCCCTCCCTGCATGCACCCCTCAGGCTGGGCCGAACTGCTAAGGCCTCTGGGAACGGTGCTATATTGGGACAGGAGAGGGGGAGAATTCTCCCTCAGCACCCTGCACAACGCGGATGCCGAACCACTGTGCCAGAGGCCAGGGAGCCCAAGGAGTAAACGTAATTGGGGGAACCGAGCCAGGAAAACAGACCTGGAGCGCTGCAAACAGTGATGAGGTGCAGGGACAGGACCCTGGGCTCCCAGGTCACCTACTTCCATCCCCTCTCCTGCCCAGCCCTGCCCCAGTGCAGTGTGGCTGCAGAACCTGGAACGCAGGGGTTCCTTCACCACTGACTCCCCACGCTATCAGACCCCAGAAGGCGAAGGAGTGCTGGATTCAGCGTCATGGGAGAAATGCTCAGGGGAAGTGTCTGCCAAGGTTTCAAAGACTACCCTGTCGGAGTACTGGCATAACATCTTCCTGAAACCCAGCTTGTCCTGGGCCTGATCCCCAGGGACACCAGCCGCGCCCAGTGACATCAACTCTCCCTGAAGAAAGGGCTGTGCGTCCTCACAGTTCTCACTCTCACCACCCTTCTTTGGTTCAAGCTGCTTCTGATTTCATTTGATAAAATTAAACTAGAAGACCTAGTCCCCCTGCCCCCAACAAAGCGATCACTCTGCCCACATTTAACTCAAGTTCAACAGATGTACAGCAGTTTATACTGTGTGTATGCTGAGAACCGTAAGGGGGGACAAAAAAGTCCTGGTTCCTGGTCGTCAGGAGATTTGGGTCTTGCATTTACTAACCACCCCTGCCCACCCCCAGAAACTTGACCCCAAAGAGCAGGCAAGAGTTGCCCAGCTTCACAAGCCCGGGCACCCCACTGGCACACAGTGGGCCCTCCCAGCACTGGCGTGAGGCTGCAGGAGCTGGCCCATGGGGCATGCCTGGCCCATGAATGTCAGACCTTGGATGCGAACAGTCTAGCAGATAGGATCTAAAAGTTCTCTCGCTTAGAAAGAAGCCAGCTACCTCCGACCCGAGTCCGTGGCCCTATTATAACCCATCAGGCTAGATGGCTCGAAGGAATTTTTCTCCTTCCTCAGCAATCGAGGCCAGGTGGTAACACTCGTAACACCACCATATTTAACACGTAGACACAGGCAATGAGCACATACCTAACATAAGTCTCATAATAGCGGGTTCTATCCAGGAACGGCATAAAATGGGAGGGAGGGAGAAGACAAAAGTTAAATTTTACTTTCAACAAAATTTAAAATGCAGATATCAGGCCACTTCCTAGCACAGGGGGTCGGCAAACTGTTCCACGGGCCAAATATAGGCTGCACCTGATTTTGTAGTTTTTACATTTTTAGAGGACTGAAAAAAAAAATCAAAACAAGAAAAATATTTCATCCCATGTGAATACAGGACATTCCCATTTCAGTGTCCATAGATAAAGTGTTACTGGAACACAGTCACACCCATTCATTTACCTATTGTCTATGGCTGTGTTCTAGCCATGGCTGCAGAGTCGAGTAGTTGCAATACAGACCGTATGGCAAAGTCTAAAATATTTACTATCTGGCTCTTTACAGAAAAAGTTTGCCAACCTCTGACCCAGAGTATGTCAACATAATTGGGGGGAGTAGGTTTTGCAGCTGCTGTTTCAGGGGGTACCACATACAGCAGGGAATGGGATGGCAGAGGGCCTTTTAACCAGAAGGCTCGTCATGTGGCTGGTGCCTGAAGAGACTGTGAACTCCGAAGCACTCACAGGTGCTATGGAGAATATCCTCTACGTTCCAGAGCTCAGGGGAGAAAGAACCGCCTCACTCCATGGGACCGGAAGAGACACAGGCAGATGCCACATTACCAAGGGCGAACACATTTTAAAGGTTACCTTTTAATACTGGACTTTCTTTGAGGCTCACGGTCATGCTTGTGAGAGGAATGATGCCCATTTTCAGACACATGCTCAAGGTTCCCAATGCTGGGCCGCTTTCCATGGGCAGCTTTGGACATATTGGCATTATTGAGATTGGCATTTGTTGAGTTGGGAATTGGTTTTCCTATGGAATTACGGTTATGATGGTTATGACACACCGAATTTCCTGCTGGAGGAAACAGCGGTTTCTCAGTATCACTTGCAGGTGGAATTGAAGGCCTTTGGACATGCAGGGGACGGTGGGCGGTATTGGTCTGCTGAAGGGAATCTCTCCTATCACTATTAACATGATTGACATGGTTTCCAAGCAGGGCACCATTTCTCTGCAAAATAATGGGAGACAACACCAGGTAATTTAACAAGTATTTGATGCAGGCTAGCTATGTTAGGTAATTTTTTTCTACATGAAAAACAAATTCTAGGTAAGCTCCGTAAGATCCCTGTAAAACAATCTGAGTATCTGAATCATCAGGGTGAATGTGTTCATGGAGCAGCTGGCCCCCCCTGAAATGAGGAAGGTTACTGATTCCTGAGCAGGGGAGCAATCTCTCTGCTGCCACTCAAGTGTACTCTCAGTCTCTCCAAGTTGAGGCAACTTTTATAACCATCTGGGCTGGCTGGCAGCCCCAGAGGTTGGGCAATAGGCATGCCCTCTGGGTTGGAGGGCTGAGGGCCAGCTGGCAGAGCAAAGAGCTGGCCTGGGGAAGAAGGGGGATGGTACAGGCAGCTTCTGGAAGGACCCAAGATGCTCATCCACAACTGGTCAGTGGTTGTGGCCAAGCTCCCCAGAAGCTGACAGTGTGGGGCAGGGAAGCAAGCTCAGAGAATGAGCAGGCCTGGCCCTAGAGGAGGTGCCAGTGAGTGGGAGGGCCTATGGGGGCGTGGTCTGCAAGTCCCTCTAGGCCCTGGGGCTGGCTTGCATTCTCCAGGCTCTTCCGTAGATCATTAACTGCCCAAACCGGAGTCCTGCCCTGCTATTTCCAGGTGGCCAGTGTGTAGCTAGGCGTGGAATAATTACTTTGAACAAATCTTCTTCTTCTTCTAGTTTTGTTTCCTCTGGTTCATCATCTTGCAGATCACAGGATATAGCCCGCCGGATTTCTGGCCCAATGTCGTGAAGGGTCCTTAATCCCGCCTAGATCAATGAAAATGGCAGAACAGGTTAGACAACACGTGTGCCTGGGTCCGGCCTGGGTCTTGGCTTTGCTCCTGCCTGAATCAGCTGTGGGAGGGGAACAGTTCTCCAAAGGAAAATCCAGGGAACCCACTGCTTGGTTGAATGTAACTGAAGGTATCCTGTAGACTAAGGGTTGCTCGGTGTGGTCAGGAGTTCAAGATGGTCAGGATGGTCCCAGGCTGGAATGCTTGAGGCCTTCAACCCAGTAACTTCCTTTTAAATTGCCTCCACTTGCCTGGCTGTGAGTGTCTGGGCATCAAGGCACCAGGGGCAGTACTGGGGCTCACCAGGGCCATGGGGCCACACCCTAGTCTAAATGACACTCTTCAGAAGGATCGCCTGCAGAGCACCATCTCCCTGAGGCCCGCACAGTGCAGAGCACAGCCAGGATGTTCTAGAGAGGGCGCAAGGACTCCCTGGTGCGCCAGGATAAGGAAGCCTAGGGACAGGTGCCAGAGGAGCAAGCAGACCAAGTAGCCGTCAGGGCCCTGGTTCTGCTGAAGAGCCATGGGAACAAGGGAGTGACACAACTGCAGCCACCCGCACACTCAGGGCCACAACACAATGATCGACATGCACACAGACCTGGGCTGCTGTGCAGTAGCCAGCCTCCATGACCATCCACGTGCCCTGGCCTGCAGCCTGGCTTCAGGCTGAGAACTCACCAACAGCAGGAACCATCCTCTTGAAGACCACAACAAATTGAAAGCAGCTCACCACCCCCTGGTGTCAGTGCAAGACGCCAGCAGGTGATTTCCTCCAGGCCCCTCACAGACATTCTGTATTTCCCCAGGGCCCTCTCAGCCAGCCTTCTTCACCCTGGGTCCCTGCACTACTGGGAAAGAACCTGCCCCACTGAAGGCCTGGGAGAAGCCTTTCCACCGTTTACAACTTTGTTAGGGAAACATTCTAAGATGCTTATGGACTATATGTGGGGGAAAGTGAGGTAGCTGGCTCTGATGAAATTATGTTGTGACCACCAATTTAAAGAAAAATAGCATGCTGACTGAAAGACTAGTAGGGACTGTACAGCTACTTTATCCTTTTGAACAAAAAGACTTGCATCTGAAAGACATTTCCTTCTTGTTCCCTAGGTCTAAGGCCCTCGTCCTGTATCCAGGAAGACACCTCTTCATGCTGGCAGTCGCCTGCTACTCAGCAGCTGATAAAGTTTTAGAGAATGTCTCAGGCATTGGTTGTACAGGTCTCCATACGGGAACTAGGCCAAGTGGCAGGTCACAGGAGAGGAGGCCACTGCCCTGTCCTTCCTCCACAACACCAGTGGTGAGTGGGCAGCTGTGGCAAGGACGCAGACAAAGCATGACCATGCCTGAGTCATGAGACACATAGTGGAGCCAAAACCCAACAGTGATGGGGAGGTGTCGACAGGTCTGGGCTCCGCTGTCGTGAGCATGCTCAGAACTGGTCTTCTGCAGATGCCACAGTTGGTGGTGAGGTTAATTTAAAATGTAAAGCTGTACAGGAACTTCCCAAGAGGATCTGATAAATATGGCCTATTCTGTAAAGCACCAAGCCTGTAAGATGCTGCTATTAAAATGGGTCTGGTTTGAACCATTCTTTGAGTAGAGGAGAAGCAAGTCTTTCCAGTTCGCAAATTATGCGGGTGAAATAATGGCCAGGAGTCAAAGCTTTACGGTTCCTGGCTAGGGATGCTGTGGTCTTGTAAGGAAAGGGAAGTCATATTCCAGGGCCAAACCCACAGCAGTTCTCGGTGTGGTCAGTGAGGCTGCCACTTGCTCTCCTGTCCCTCTGATCACAGGCACGAGATGTACACATGCACGCATGCACACACACCCACACACACACAAACTCCCTCCTCAGGACTCCCAAGTCCAGCACAGCTGAGCTTGGGGATTCATTTGGCTCTGAGGTGGATCCACTTGCAACATCAAGAAGCCAAGTCTAATGTCATGGTGGTGACAGCTCTTACACAGCAGAGCTGCAGGCCTGTGAATAAAGGTGGTACTCAACAGTATTAAATGGCCTGCAGTTCATTCAGACTTTTCTAGGGTACAAATACCAAGATAAGACAAGCAAGGGTTTGGTCTGATTTTGGATTTTAGGAAGAAAGGTCTGTTTCAGATCTGAGGCCCACAAATAAGAAGGGGCAGCGTCTGAGACACCTGCTGCTGTCTCCACAAAACTAGCATAGTTACAACACACTAAGTCAACATGCCCAAATCAATGGTGTACATTAATCCACGTTACAAGGCACTACAGGCCAGACACCCTCTTGATGTTAACAACAGATAGTCCTCTTTACCGTCATTCAACTGATTGGCTAGGTCCGATTAAAAGAAATAGAAAACTATTTATTTGGATAATTTTTAACATCATCCTTTGTTGACTGGTTGACATTTCACCGAAATACATATATAATTGCATAATAAAAACAAAAACTGTCTCCAGCACATCTTCAGTGATATACAAGGTTAGGATTCGGTCAATAGGGTAATGCGGTGAACAGACACAGGACAGATCATTTGTTTGCAACATAAATCATGGAGAAGGTTGAAAGGTGGCCACAGATGCCACTTGCAAAGACAAATAATGACAATATATTTAGTAAAGAGACATGGGGGTGGAGGGAAGCAGCACTCTTCCCAGACACAAAAGCAGAGGTTCAGAAATCATGGTTGTGTTTTGTTTGCGCCACACAGGCAAACAAACACCTTTTCAGAATTGGGGAGAGCCTTTACTCTCTCACATATGAACTCAGGAAGGACGGCGGGGGATGCGGGTGCAACTCGGGCGGGGTGTCTGCCGTGGTTGGGAGTGAGGGAAACAGATGTTCTCAAACTTGAATTGAAATGAAGCTTAAGGACAGCACCCTGAATTTATTACATATCACAAAACATGAAAATGAAATTTTTCTAGCACATGTATCAAGCTTCAAGGTAGCTAAACTGTTCCAAAAATTCCATAGGCACAAGTTCCAATTCCAAAAAATGCAGAAAACTACCTTAAACTCTTGAAAGTTTTACTTTTTTTTCCCACAGCCCTAAAAAAAGAACATTTCCCTTGAAATAAATACTTTACAGTCAATAAAATTGTCTGTTCTTTCATATTTCATATCTGTCTACCTCTATCAGAAAAATACTATTTTAATTTGAAACGTGGTCATTAGCACTTAAACCAACACAATTAAACCCATATAAAGTCATTCCGTTAACATCACAGTATTATTATGGTTTTGAATAAACACAGAATTGCTATAAAATACAAACATTATTGACTTGTTTTAAGATGTCCAATCTTATAAAATATTAAACAGAATCAAACCTCATTTCTGGTTGATTTTAAAATGCTAGATGTTATCATAAATATTTCTTTAAAAAAGAAATGTTGGCGCTTTGCCTGTAGACTGCTGCTTTAAATTTTAGACACCATTTAATTGGAATTTTATATTTACTCTAATGAATGATTAAGTCACACACAAAAAACCCAACAAACCATAAAATCTCTCTAAACATTTCTAAAGCAATAGCATACAATTATGATATTTTAACATCAAATATGAACATTCATTATCTCCCTTTTGCCCACTTTCAGGGTTATTGTAAACTTTGCCTACCTGGATGCATTTGAAATGGCTCCACCGCCTGTCATGCTAAGCTAGCTCCATCAGACACACCAACCAGCCACCAGCTCTCACACCACTACAGCAAGTTTAAATGCCCAAAGCACCCTCCTGGACCTACACTGTAACAGTGAAGATAAGAGATGCAGGTCTCGAGTCTGGACAGGGCCAGGCCATTCATCTTCGGGACGTGAGCGCCAGGCTTTCTGTCTCCAGCCCAAGAGTCCCACAGTGGCAGAGCCTGTTCTCCATCACTGGCAGGTTTCACTCAGCCAAGGCTGGACCTGCACACAGTCATCTCGGTTCTGATTAACCCTTTAGCAGGTGCTGGCCCATACCAAATTAGAGGGGATACTTTTAGACTAGCTCTGTGAGAAGGAAGAACGGGAGATTAAATTCTTATAGAATAAACCCGTTCAGCTACAAGCTGTCCTCCGCCTCCTCCACACACACACACACACACACACTTCGACACACACACACCACACCGACACACCCCTTATTTTGTTACTGTCTTCCTCCAGGGAAAATGTGATGGTGTGGCCTTTTTGTCCATTGTGAACAAGCCTCTGTTAAATATACAGGCTGAGAATCATGAGCACAACACCCTGTTAGTCATCCACGGTGATTCTGACCCTCACTGAAGCCAGCTGTGGTGTTACCCACTAAGTTACCCTGCCAGGCCTTCCCCAGGGTTGCTCTCAGCTGGATAAATAGAGGTTTTTTGTTTTTTTTTTTTAAGTATCCCTTTGAAAGATAAAGCTTTAACCAAAATCGCCTAAAGTGATACAGGCCCTTTCCCTGCAAACCATCTGACAGAGCTATCTGTCTTAGTTCCACCTTGATTCTTGGCTGTAGTTTTAACACCAGAATCAGAAATCCTTGCCAGTTTCCTGGTAATGGAGAGAGTATTACTTAAAAGTTGGCTCAGCAGAAGCTGCAAATCACAACTTCTATTCTGATAACATCTTTACACCTGTCATTGTGGCCTCACATATGTAATTTCACTACATCCTGGGAGGGAGGGAAGGCCGAGGTAGTTCTCATTTGGTTAAATTATCTGCCCAAACTAGTCAGAGGCTCAGCTAGGAGTCTTGACTCCTAGGCCTGCTCTTCCCATGACACTATGCTGGGCTCTCCTCTCCCAAACTCTCAGCTCAAACACCACCAAGAGAAAGTCATTGCATCTACTGGGAAAGATGGCTGGAATCAAGTCTCAGGCATGCCTTCACTCACCTATGAACATGACTGTCGGGTACCACTAAATCAAAGTTAACCTTCTTTCAAGTAACTTAGTAGAACTTGTTTATAACTAAATCAACATTGAAATGACAAACTGCCATGAGTTGTCATTAAA